TGTGTTTGGGCTTGATTAATTTGTATTGATGAGGACTTTACACCTGGATAGAGTGAGGCTGTCATTAAGGGTCTGATGATGAAGAAGTGTAATTGTTAAGGGAACTCCTCAACGGTATACTGTAACTACCTTGTGTTTGGGCTTGTATAATTTGTATTGATTAGAATTTTGCACCTATGTAGATTATAAGTAACAAAACGGATATAATTATGTAGCTTTACACTGAAAATGATAAAATAATAAAATAAAAACTGCGTTTAAAAAACCGACTTCAAAAAACCAAAAACTAATAACAAACAAAAAGTCAAAACTAAAAAGCAAAAAATAACTATTATTAGTACTGATAGGTTACCCACCCACTGATAGGTTAGAAGTCGGTGCCATAAGCTCATATCATAATGATATAACTTAATGCCCACAAAATTGTGAATTAGGTACCTATTAAGGTTTTAATAAATAATTTTGTATGGAACTTATGGCATTCTTACCTATCAGTGGGTGATTGTTTGTTATTAGTTTTTGGTTTTTTGAAGTCGGTTTTTTAAACGCTTTTATGTTACAAGTGTGATAAATATCACTACATATAAGTAGTAAAAAACAAAGTCGCTTGTGTCTGTGTGTATCTATGCTTAGATATTTAAAATTACTCAACATATTTTTATAGTTGTTTTTAATAGATAGAATAATCCAAGTCAGCCAACGCACTAACCGTATACAATAATTCCGAATTTAAAGCATGCGAAGCAGCGGGCAAAAGCTATATAATACATGTGTGGTTCTTCCTGAAGAAAGTCGGTAACAAACTGTGCAAATAATATTTTTCGCAGACTCTCTTTGTTCACACTACCATAAGAACATCACACTTGTGATGGCAATGTTATAAAAAAAAAAACAAATAATTACGCGTTAACCGTTACATAATTTGCTTAGGAAGTACTTTACCGTCTTTTTTTGAAGGGGGAAAAATCATCGAATGACTGCTCCCGCCTGGGTGAGGCGGGAGGGAGTGTCAGACTCTTACTGACTAAAAACCACCCAGTTCAGGAACTCACCCTCCAACTTTTGCCTGTATTTGTTGTTGTTTCAATCCCTCTCTCCTTAGTCTAACCCATCAGCGTAGACTGGTGGCATGACAACGCACTAGCCATACCAGTAGTGATTCAAGTTATATTTGACTGCACAGTCGGTGCGGTGGCTGGCCAACTGAAGCACGTTCGATCCACAGATTGTTGTTCCGGGTCTGGGAGTCATGTGTATGTGAACTTATATATTTCTAAACGCACCCACGACACAGGAGAAAATCCTAGTGTAGGACAACGTTTTACAAAAAGAAAAAAAGGAATATTATAAACGACAAAACTTACAAGTGCATAAAGTAAGGTTTATAGGTCAAAATAAATTCATAAATTTAAAACTTTTTGTTCAACAATAGTGCTCTCTGATTCTGACTTATTACCCAACTACTTAGTTCAAAATTAGGATAAATAATTCTACTGGGGCTACGTTGTCAAAATAATGTTGAAACTAGAAACATATTTTGTACAAGGGACTAATATTAAAGTAGGAAAAGTTACCTACAATATACATTCGTAACACCTTTGCTTACCTTCAGGGAAATCATACGTTGAAGTTTTGTTATGGTATTTTGTAACCTAACCCATGTTTTGTTTGTATAATACTTCCTAAATACATCCTACTTAACATAATAAATATTAAGTTTGTATGTTTGTTCGTTTGATACGCCTTCACGTTAAAACGACTGAAGGCATCGAGATGAAATTTGGAACTGGGGTAGATGTCTGTAATACCATATAGGCTACTTTTATCCTGCTCCCTCGTTGGCTAAGTGGTCGTAAGTGCGACTGCTGTGCAGTGTGGAGCAATGAGGGAGACGTGTTACTGTTAAGAATATCTTTGATTGAGTGTCTTAATAACTAACTTACACTACTGACTTATAAGGCGAGGTGTCACACACACTACAGCCGGGCAAGGGGTTTCGGGTTCGATTCCCGGATCGGGCAAAGTACTGCTGGGTCTTTAAAAAAAATCAAAGTAGCACGGAGTCTGGAAAGGCCAGCAATGAACATCGGCTATACCATAAAGCAATTGGCCGGGGATTTTTTAAAGCCAAACAAGATAGGTACAGGTAATTACATCGTTATAATTTGTTATTCTTGGTGGTCAGTATGGTTGGTGTGTGTTTATTTCTTATATTTTTTATTTAGTTAGTATATGCTCTTGTTGTTTTTTTTTTTATTTTCTTTCCCTAAATGATGTATTTGTTTGGACTGTGAGTGTTTTTTTAATTTAATACTGTGAAATCTATCCGTGAAAACCTGTAATTGGCTTTCTGATGTTTATTATATTATCTGTTTGTTTGCTATGTGTACCTGTTGGTTTTCCAATTCATAAATAAATAAATAATATTAATTCAACATTTTTGTAAAAAGTTTTTAATCAAAGTATTATAAAAACTTTAAAGTAATCACTACGAATTCTTACAATATTTACAGTAATTATCGAGTACTAATTGTTCTTACAACCTTGGTGATTCTGAGCGGAGGTCGGTGAATGACATCGCTCCTCATCCATTGTCTCTGAAGCTCCTCTGAAGGGTAATCGACATTCCTGACATGTCTGGTGATGCAAAAGTACCGAACAGGTTGCGACAAGTTGAAATGTTCATTAACATATTTATTTATTTCCGTCATGTAAAGCTTTTGTGAAAAAAGACTAGTGTTGCTGGTTTTTGAAGGGACATCTGAATCCTTTTAACTTGACAGTATCTGTTGTTGAGCCTAGTTTGAAACTTAAGTTGTTGTGTTGTGGTCCTTTCTCAAGAATAATTATGTTGATATGACAAGTGTATCACAAGTATTTTATTAACCGACTTCAAAAAAAGGAGGAGGTTCTCAATTCGACCGTATATATGCTTTCTTTTCTTGCTGATATTTAACCAAAACACATTTTCATTATGACTGCCGCTTTGCCCGAGGTTGCAAGTGCTATTGTCTACGGAGCCGCGGAGAACGATGAAGGTTACCGAGGCTTCGGCTCGAAGTGCAGGAGTAGGAACGGGGTGGTTTTTTTTTAGTCAGTAAGGGTTTTACACTCCTTCCCCCTCACCCAGGGGGAGAAGTCATTCGATGCCTTTCCCTCTAAAAAAAAGTGTGACTGTCGAGCAAGGGATCGCGGGTTCGATTCCCGGTTTGAGGAAAGTATTAGTGGTTGTTTAAAAAAATCTTAGTAGTAGCACGGAATTTAGAAACGTGTTTGGTATTTGGCAATAGGCTCACCCCCTATTACATGTGACTCATAACATAAATAGTGAAAAGTGGGTGTTACATTGTACAGTGGCATATACGGCACTTAACCGTAAATCCGTAACGGGCACCTCGGCCTACCTCCGAAGGGGAAGTAAAAGGCGTGATGTTGTTATGATGAAAATTTCATTTCACTTAGATAGGACAATATTATAAAACAATTAAACGTATTCGCACACATTTACGACTAAAATAAAGACTAAGAACATAGGCGTATAAGAACCTAGGTATCACAATAGGAGATGAATAATATACTTGACTTAAAGTCCTATGTCGCCTAAATGGGGCAGAGGGCGGCCACAGAGATCTTCCGTCTCGATCGGTCTTGAGCTTCTCGCTTAATCTCCCTCCCTCCGTGAATAATGAAGTAATTAACAAACGACAACAATAAATCACAATCGAATTCTAAATCCCTGTTTAGAAAGTCATAAATCAAACGAAAGAAAGTTTAACACTTACAATGCGAACAACTTTTATCATTGAGCGATGAAATAGAAGGGTAGCTTGAATAATAACACACAATTAAACATAGTGCAGGCAGGTCAAGGTATACCAATCGAACAATTATTACAAAACAATTTTTAACTTTATCACAAAAGCCTAAAGTTGAAAATCATTTGAAGGAATGTGGATTTTGAGGTATGTTCATGAGCAACCGTTTGTACTATGTCATTTATCATCTAGTTCATGAACCGTGAAGTTTTTGCGAAATGCCAACATTAAGAACACCGAACATTACTCGTACTAGGTACTTTCATTTTCTAAAATAATTTGTCTAAGAATTTGATGGATCAGCTGTCTGTATTAAAAGTTTCTTTGGTAAAAATAATTACCTATATATAGCGTTTTACAAGCCTTTTTATCCACAAAAAAAAATAAATTTGATAGGTAAAAGAAAACATTAACATTATACAGGGGACTGTTTTTTTTAATAAATTAATTTAAAGTACCCAGTAAGTAAGTTTAACGCGTAGATAGGTTTTGAAAAAAAAGAATCTATTTTTACTTTTTTTTATTAACCGATGTCCCAACTCAGGAATTTCTCCTGTGTCGTGGTGCGTTTACAAACACAAGTTTACATATACGATACAAATGACACCCAGACCCGGAACAACAATCTGTGGATTACAGTGTCGTTCCGTGCGGGAATCGAACCCGCGACACGTTGCACGGCAGCCAGTTGCCCAGCCACCACACCAAACGTGCACTCACTCAGTTTAATATTTTGTACAAAATATTATGGCCTGTTCATTAAAATAGATTGGGCTATCTAGGACGAGTCCGTAGAGAATGAGAAAAATATTTATATATAAAAAAGATCAAATTACGATGCCTCTAAAACCTCTTAATTAGTTCTATGGATGGAATACAAAAAAAAAACATTTTAAAAAGTTCATGTCATTTTACTCGAGGGCTTTGTTCCAAAGAAACCAACACGGTTAGTAACAATAAACGACAAAACTTCCAAGTGCATAAAATAAGCTTAATAAAAATGGAAGACGCATCGCGAGAAACAATCGTCCATTCAAATAGGCAAAGTTCAATGTACATACATAACAAGTGGTATTATACGGGTACATTAAAAAGGGCACTTATAACTTGAATATTTAAAGAAACGAGGGTGCATCTATAATCGGTTAATAGTCTGCGAAACAAGAGTGGTGGTATGACGTGCACATTCACCTGCGCCGACGACGATTCCGCAGTTGTATCTCGCGGACGCGCCAGTAACAGACGCCATCTTTGAAGCGGTTTTTTTTATAATTCGAACTTTATTTTTTTTAAGTGTGTGTTGTCAACGGTGACGGATCTTTTTACGCGTAAGTTTTATTTTTCTTTAATTTTTATCGCTATTTTTTATTACTGGTCCTTTTTTTTGTTTAGCTGATTTTTCGTTGTTTTGACAATTCTCAAACTGTCACGAAAAGTTTAAAATTTTTTTTTACTTATTTTTACGAGTTACGGTGATTAGATTAAAATATAAAAATAAATCCTGGTAAATTAAACATTGACAAATTATGTTATTCTATTTATAGAATGGTTTATGATTCTATTTTTAGAATGTTATACTAATTCTAGTAGTAGGGCTGGTTTATAATGGAATATTTCTTGAGTACCTTCATCCACGATTTTAATACGGATAGTTTTAGCTGCAATTTTAAACGATGCATTGTCAAATAAAAATCGCTTTATGCATTAGCATAATCAAGACGAAAAAAAACGACTAAAACAATATGCTCTTAGAATTTTGATTACATAAAAAAGTATAATTATATTTTCAAAAAGTCTTTCGAATACAACACGAAATCCGGTATCCCAACATAATTTATATCGAATTTCTTTAGATATTTTGCAAAAAAAATACATTTTGCAGCTACCTACGTACTGACAAAGTCGTCATAGACTTGTGATACATAACAAAACTGTTTTTAGTTTATTCTCCGTACCTTATTTTTCGCCTTAGGTGCCATAATCAAATTGTGTACATGAAAGACAAAATAAAATAAAAAAAAAATATCTAACTCAAGTGCAAGAAGGTTATATTACTTACTGGCCAAGTTATGTCATGGATGGAACTTAGCACATAGTGAAAGTGGCTCCTCAGTGGTCTGCAGATGAGAGGAAACTGGCCAAAGACATTGAGGGAATCGTTTCCTTATTACTTATACACTTACGTTCATTTATATGTTCATATAATATTATCTAAGATGTTATGAACTTACGTCTGTTGTGGCAAGGCATTTATATGGTGTTATAGCTATAGGTAATGATGCTCTAAAAGTGGTTAAAGTTTATTAGTCCTAATTTGGTACTGGCCAACTAGTCAAATTCAATTCTTTTTACGAACTGTTAAAAAGTTTTCTATGAATTTTGTATGAGAATGTGAATTGTGACGTCACGTTTTCGTAAGGTCGAACAACATACTTATTTCTTAAAAATTAGCTGAAAAATACTAAAATTAAGTTTGTCATAAAATCAATAAATGAAAGTGTGATTATTTTTTAATATTTTATTGTAATGAACAGTCGAAATTATTTATTTCTGACTATCTGACCCGGCAAACTTCGTATCGCCTAAAACTTTTTCTCACCTTTTAAACCTTCCCTAGACTTCCAAGAACCTATCAAGACCAAAATTAGCCAAATCAGTTCAGCTGTTCTCGAGTTTTAGCGAGACTAACGAACAGAAATTCATTTTTATTTATATAGATTATAGATTAAACTGTCAAACACCAAGCGGTCACCGGTGACCGCAACCTATTGTTCTATAATTGTGTCTATAATGACGGTACTCGACGAGTTAAGGAAAATACCCAATTGTTATTTTTTTGTTGTTAGTAGAATATTGCACGATTTTCTTGCGCTGAAGATATAGGGGAAAACTGTTACTGTTATATTTTTGGCTATATTTAAAAATGTGTATAAAAAAAATACTTATGTAGTGTGTTATAGGGAGTATAAATATGTTTCGTAGAACAAGGGCGTGTAAAGAACATTACGCAATATATCGTAACATACTTACCAATACCATAAAACATGGAGCCAACCATAGGAAACTTAAAACCTTCAAGAAAAGAGCGTCTTCCTTTTTAAAAGGCCGGCAACGCACCTGTGACTCCTCTAGTGTTGCGGGTGTCCATGGGCGGCGCTGATTGCTTACCATCAGGTAATCCGTCTGCTCGTTTGCCTCCTATTCCATATAAAAGGGAACAAAATGGTAACTGGAAAAGTTTAGTCAGTTCCTATGGTTTGGTTCAACATGAACATACGCAAATAAATACGCAGATGCATGGCATTAAATATTCACCATTAGCACTGCCGTTATAATAATGAACCAATAACGGAAAAGAAAAATACAGTTCGATATAATTTCTTCCTAAATGATAACAATAATTTCAAAGAAAAAGTAGCTTATTTATTAAACTATTTCGTATTAGCGATCAGGTTTAAAGTTGACACGTATGAGTACATTCCTAAGTTATACGTTCGTTGACTTCACAACTTGAACAGGAAACTAACGTTGACAGAATGAACTGTTTCACATTATAACAGCTTTCTACTTTTCTTTAATACTTGCGTAGGTACATACTTTATCTAGACTTGGAGAAATTACCTGTCATTTGTAAATGTTACGTTTTCAATTAATACAATATACATAGTTACCTACCATACATAACATTCCTTTTTAAAAGGCCGGCAACGCATCTATGACTCCTCTGGTATTGCGGGTGTTCATGGGCGGCGCTGATCGCTTACCATCAGGTGATCCGTTTGGTCGTTTGCCTCCTTTTCCATAAAAAAAAAAACATTTTTTACTATCAGTCACGTTGATTATAAAAGCAGTACTCTGTTAGACTTAAACTTTTTAAACTATGATCTTATGCGAAGCGAGGATCTAATAAATAGAGGAGATCCATCGCCCTGCAGCAGATTCCCATGAGCTGATGATAATGATCGATGATGTATCCCATATCATACAATCTTATTTATTTATTTATTTTATTTTATTAACACTTCTGTATAAAAAACATACGATGGCGGACTTAATGCCGGGTGGCATTCTCTAACAGTCAACAATCTTATGATGGGTTAAATTATCTGAATTAGGGTTAATGATTTAAATATGTCATCTAGTTTCTCCTGTTGGCAGAGGAAGGCAATAAATACACTGCACTTCATACCCTTATCAAGGTTTTGTGTTAGAAGGATCTACTTATTGAAAGGCTATAGAACATAATTTGTTGATTGAATAACCTTAAAGTTTACTATGTTTTTCGGCTTACTCGCGTAATTATTTGACGAGGAACTCGACTAGTTTCAAGCCATGCTAGAGGCTCATATTCATGAGCAGCATTCCGCGACGCGGCGATTGTCGCGCTGCCACTTCACTGTCAGTCAGTCGAAAAATATAATAATTAATTTAGTATGTCTCATGAAAGTATATAATATATAATATGATGTTTATTATCTAGTTTTACTTACCCTTAAACTTTGAACTAGACTTTCAATTTTTGTAACTTTTCCACATAATCTCATATTTTTATTATCTCGCTATGTTCCTCGTCTTTCATACCCTCCACCTACACTATACCGTACGTACTCAAGATCAGTTCTCTCAGTTACATGGGTGTTCCAACATCATGCGTGAGGTAACTATGGACCGGTTGCACCCGGCAATATTTAGCCAAGACCGTCGTATTAAGTAATGTCTACTTTACTGCAATCGCCTAAGGGAAACTCATATATGTACTCAGTTGCGTATGTTCATTAATAATTCTAGAATATTCTTGTTTACTTGGCAATTGGAAAAATGTGTTAATTGCTAAGTTAGCAAAAAGAATTGTAGTAGTTTATACTGCGTAATGAAGTGCTGAAGCCCAACTTCAAGCTCAATTGTTATATGGCAAGGAAAAGTAATTATAAATCTAATTATCCCTTATTACTTATTAAGTTTTTAATGGATTTCTTTTCTCATTTAATGTATTGTTGAAAAAATGCTAATCAAATCAAGCGCTCAAAATATAAAAACTAAAGGCGAAAAGGAAAAAAATATACAAAAACATTAATAACTTCTAAGTAACATTTACAACTAATTACCATGTCAATCATGAAACGAGATTCCTAGAAAACAACGTTTCATGAAATCTGAAAAATAAAATATTATGACAAAAATTTCTTGTAGGTACAGTGACCGGTAATGAGAATTCTACTAAATAACCTCATTGACACTTATTTTTTTATTTATTTAGACATAATATTTTTTATATATATTATTTTTTCAAGTTATAATTTCATAAAAAATCTTTCATGGATTATTAATATTGTTTCCATTTATGTTTGGCAAGTTTAAGTTTCAAAATGGCGGGTTAGGTACTACGTGAACGTGAATATACTGAGAAAAGCTGCGCTGTACGCTGCGCGACATCGCCGCGACCGCGCATGCTGATCATGGGGAAGAATCCCTCTGTGATTCGAAACTAGTAGAGCTTTTCTCGGTATATTCACGTGAGTAACCCGCTATTTTTAGTTAATTTAGTCTATCTCACGATAGTTATTATAAAGCTAACTTAACGTTATTATAAAGCAAGCTGATAAGTTTGCGTTACAAAGTAAAATGGTTTTTTTTATCGATTTAAGTTGTTTGCAAATAGTAGAAAGGGTAATGTAAAATTAAATTAATGAATTACTTTCATATAAAATTTTCTAATCAAACTAAAACTATTACTTCAATGCTTTTAAAATAGCATATTTTAACTAATTTGAAATAAATGTTAACTTTCCGTCTAGACTATTCAGAAATCCAAGAAAATTTGATTTAAGCGTAGGTGCAGTCAAAATGTATTTTTAGAAAATAATTATTTACGAAGCAAACGGTTTATAGAATCAGTTTCAACAATTTAATCAACATGAGTGCATGTTTGCAAACTGGTTAATGACCCCTTTATATTAATTTATAGAAAACATTATGTAGACTCCATTTCGTGTCGCGGAGAACCTAACGGGTAACCGGGGCTCCGGCTCGACGTGCAGGAGAAGGAACAGGGTGGTTTTTAGTCAGTAAGAGTCTGACATTCCCTCCCGCCTCACCCAGGCGGGAGCAGTCATTCGATGATTTTCCCCCCTTAAAAAAAACTGCTCCATTTCATTCACGGGAATGGCATAGTTTAATTGAGGACTTTTTGGGAAAAAAACAGTAATACCACGAAGGTAGACATCACCCTAAGATTATTAATGTGAGTTTCTTTGTGCTGCCTCGTTGGCCGAGTGGTCGCATGTGCAACTGCTGGGCAAGGGGTCTCGGGTTCGATTCCCGGGTCGGG